AGCAGAGCTGAAGCTCGATCAGGCTCTAGGCTGTGGTATAGGCTTTTTCAACCTCGCACGCCGGATCGGCGGATTTTGGCATGTGCGAGCAACGTTCCGCTGGCCACTGCTATGATCCCAGACCCCCAGCGTCTTGATTCCTTCGCAGCCTGGACCCCCGTAGGTGTGGACCCCATCCCAGGAAACGATTTCTCATCCCGATGTGTTTTGGTCGGCGGACCACCCCGGGGCCCGGTGAGAGCCTGACGGGGAAACCACGAGGGCGTGGCGCGAGGGGGCAGCCTGTTACGAAGCAGGGAGACTTCTACGAAGCCCTCCGTCGGCGACTACAGCGGTTGTGGCTACGCTGGGGTGTGGTGTGCGATCTGCGTCGATGGGGCCTGGGCGACGCCTCGTTGCCCTTGTCGGGCCTCCTCGGGGCGCCGCGGAGAACTCTGTCGAGGTCCTCGCCCGCCCCCCAGGGCGCGCGTTGCCAGCAACCCCCTGTGCGGGCCGCACCTTTCGGCGTCGCCAACCCTGCCTTCTCGGAAGCCCACCTCCAGGCTTCGGAGAAGGCAGCCCTATTCGAGCCATTCATCCCCCTCCTCCTCCTCCTCCCCCTCCTCCTCCTCCTCCTCCTCCCTCCTCCCTCCTCCTCCTCCTCCTCCTCCTCCTCCTCCTCCTCCTCCTCCTCCTCCTCCGCCGCCGTGTGCGCACCGCCGGCTGTTGCCGGCGACGGCCCCGGGGCCCTGCGAGGGCCCGGCTTCCCGGGGCCGACAGCTGCCGCACGCGACGGGGCCTAGGTCGCCGCCGCCGCCGCCGCGAGGACACCAGACTGCCGCCGCGGCAAGCTCAACGTCCGCCCCCGCCCGCGTGACAGCGGTCCCACGACAGCCGCATCACAGTGTCGTTGCTCGGCCGAGGGCCGCAATCGCCCTGCACGGCGGCGCACCGCAGAAGCGCACAGGACAGGTGGTGGCAGAGGTCTCACAGTCTCTTCACGCTGACGCCTTGTCGGGAGATTGCGCGCCTTAGTTGCCCTGATATATATATATATATATATATATGTATATATATATATATATGTATATATACGCACGTTTTGAACGCAACACGTCCCGTGTTCAAAACGTCAGCCTTACCACGCAGCGTGCTTGTTCCGCACGTGTTGCCCCACGCTGTGGCGAACGTATCGCGCCAGACCGACGTTTTCGATCGACGTGCTGGTTGAGCTACGTGCCAGCACGCTACGGGTTGCGCGTGGCGTATCGGGGCGGCTGCGTTGCGCGCCCTCTTTCTCTCTTTCTCTCCCTCTCTCTCTCTCTTTCTCTCCCTCTCTCTCTCTCTTTCTCTCCCTCTCTCTCTCTCTCTCTCCCTCCCTCTCTCTCGCACTCTACGACCAAAGGTGTCCGCGCTCGCCCCCCGCCCGCCGCCAGTGCCGCGGCATCTGCTGCAAGAACGCAGACTGCGAGGCGCCGCCCCCCCGCCGCCCGCCGAAGGCCGCCGCCGCGGGAGCCGCCGCCAGCCGTTCCGCCCTCCTCGGCGCCGCCGCCGCTCGTCGCCGCACGGGTCCCGCCGCCGCGGCTCGGGCGACGGGGGGGTCCAGGAGGGAGGCGCTTGGCTTAGGTCGGGCCCGTCTCTCTACGGGAGGAGTGCTCCAGAACAGCCAAAGAAAAACAAGTAGCCCGGGGACTGTTGTTGGAGCATCCTTCGGCCATGTTGGAGCACTCTTTGGGGGTTTAGGTGTCGTGTTTCGTCGACGACCCCCCTGTTGGGGGACACGCCCGACTCAACGCTTGGCTGTCGTTTCGACGGAGCGCCAGCATGCACCGAGGCGCGTGGATCGGCGCGCTCCGTCGCCAACCCCGGGCGGCATTGGCGCCATGTTTCGGGAGGGGGGCGTCCCCCGACCCGTCGATCCTGGCGACGACGCGCCAGATCCGCGCATCCGCACTCCACGTCAGCGTGTAGCCGATTGGTGGTTCAGAGAAGCACCAGAGTTGCATGGGGATGGGGGGACATCCTCTCCCCCAGCTCCTCCTCCTGCTTCTCCTCCTCCTCCTCCTCCTCATCCTCCTCCCCCGCCTCTCTCTCTACAGACGCCTGTTCCTCTCCCTCCTCCCTCTTGCCTGCTCCTCCCTCCTCTTCCTCCTCCCTTATCATCCCTCCATCCTTGGATGAGCAGGAGGCTCGAGGATGAAGGAGGTTTGCTGCTTTGTCTGATATTTGGCTTCGGGGGGCTCCAGATGACCTCTGCGAAGGCGGAACAGGAAGGTGGATGGAAGGGTCTTTCTTGCTAGTGATCACGCGGATGGATCGCGATAGGCGATAGGCGCAGGAAGAGTTGAAGATGCGCGTGGCAGATATCACGCACAGATGAGAGGCAGGCGCCGAATGAGCGAAGACACGGTGCGGCCGACCTCCAAGGTCCATGCACACAGCTCTTTTGTGAGTTTTCGAGTTTTCCGAAGGGTCAATATCAGCATGGGCCCTTCCAGGCTTGCGTCGGGAAGTCTTGGTTCATTGGGAATTGTAGCATCTCGCGCTTTCTCGTTGTGGTGGTCACCCGTTTGTGACCCTGTGGGGTCCAAATCCCTGATAGCAGGGCTCCCGAAGGACGTGGAAAAACTTGTCAAAGATCTCTGGAAGGATCTGGAGAGAGATTCTGAAGGACCTCCTGGAGAGCTTCAGGGCACGTCTAGTGGAAAAACTTAGAAAAGGCCTGCCGGAACACGCTGCGGGTTCAAGCAGGCCGCGCCGAGGTGTCCTGGTGGAAGCCGGAACAAACTCTGGGGCTACCCTGCGGCTCCATCTTCTTAATCGGAAGCCCTCCTAGCTTTCAGAGAGCTATCCGGGAACCCTCGGGTTCTCGGAGCCTTGTGTTCCCCACCTGGCAACTCTGGGTCGTTAGATTTAAAGAGCGGACCTCCGGGCCCTTCCGCCCTTGCATAGTTATCGCGGCCGCTAAATCGCCAAATCCACGGAGAAACCACCCAATTAAATCACCGCCCCTCGGCGACCCGCCCATTCAATCTAAAGTGAGCTGGGAAAAGGGCGAGAGATAGCGAGCGTTTGTCCGCGGCCGTTTGTGTTCAAGCGGCCGGCCGCCAACATGTGACTGCGCTTCATTGCGAGGCATATTATTTGCATTCGAGACCGCAAACATCCTTCGCTTGAGATGGCCCGTCGCTCCCGCGACGACCTCCGACTGGGACTATCGCTACTATAATACAACAGAGCAGGAACTGTGCTCCGCCTAAGGCGTAGCTTTTGGACGGGCCCACCGGCCCCCTTCAAACTTGGTAGCGGAGCTGGCCTATGGTGGTCAGCTCTTGCTTTTACTCCTCAGCATCCATGGCACTACCTGGTGGACTACTGACATGGTGGAACATCAGGGTGCAGTGGGTCTGCGCGGAGGAATGTACATAACTACGCACAACCGCAAGGACACTTGCAGTGGTACCTCTGTTCTCGCAGAGGCCTCTTTACTCGAGTCCTACATCCCTGCGCTACTACACTCCGGAAGTACACCGACCTATTCCAAGTGGAATTTTCTTCGAAGATACCATGCATGGCAAGATGCGATATTATATATTGCGCCGCCTCTCCCCCCGCGCAGGCTTGCAACGAAACGCCACGAACTTCAGCCAACCGCATCCGATCACGACCTACGGGGCCAGCGGATTGGCATTGCTATATTTGGTCTCATATGACTCATATGGGTTGCTATCGGGCGCGCTGCGGGACACATTCGCGGCGGAGACGACGCAAGGACAACCGGCCCCCACTGGGCCCCGGCCAGTCAAGTACCTTTTCCGCGAATTCGTTCGAGAGGTACATGCTTGGATCAACGTGACCACAGGCAATATGACGCCCCCCCAACGAGCTGCAGCATTGCAGCGTGGTCAGGGAGGCCTCGCACGGACCATAGCCATGAAGGTTCCCCCAGCAGTCATTGTTTCTGGCGTCAACATAGGTGGCCGCCATACTGATGGTGTCACCTGCATTACGTCCCTCCTTAGCACGAAGCTCAGGGACTTAGAGGAAGGACGCTAACTTAACTCGGGCACTGCTCTCATCGACTTTCGAGACCATGCGGGAGAACGGATCGACCAGACACTGGCGCGCTTCGAGATAGCCCTCTGTGGTGCTGAAACGGCAGGCTTTAACATCCCCAACTTACAAATCTGAACGGTCATTCTGTTCAGAGCCCTAGGCGCGGGGACGTCGCGCGCACAGCAACTTCTACAGCCACTTAACCACCTATTGCCGAGGAATCAGCAGCTGTTTGACTTTCTGCAGGAACGCATGAGGTCAGATGCTCACATTGCTGAGCGAACCCCCGACAATATTGGTGGTATTTTCAGCCACGGTCGCCGCGCCCAAACTTTTTATGCTTGAGCCAATGCGGGGCAACCTGCTGCAAGCGTCTGGAATAGCGATCCGCAACCAACGGGGGCCACAACGCTATTAGTTCAAAATGGTGGTCCGGCCGCGGGGTCGCCAGACTCTTGGGCCAGGTATCAGGGGCCGTCGGCAACGGCGGCCCCGCGCACAAGCAATTACCCTTGTCGGCTCAACGGGGCAACCCGCTGAGGCTGACTTCGGCTCTGGAACCGACGCCGACACGTCGTCAGACGACGAAGCGAATGCCCTAGACTACTCCGATATGCCCACGTATCTTTCGGAATAACAAAAGGCTAAATGGCTGTTTCTACGATGTCAGAAGCAAAAGCGCAGATGGAGACGGTTTACGAAGAAGCTCGTTCGCAAGGTACGACGCACTATCCGACGGGCACTCAGGGGAAAGGGCAAGGGTCGAGGCGAGGGCAAGGGCAAACGACGGCGATTGCATGTCAGAGGTGTGTTAGCTTTCCTGGCATCCCTTACTGGACCACAATATGAAGAACCCTTCCTGGGTGCAGGCTGGGGTCGTAGGCGCACTTCAGGAAAGGGCAAGGGGCGTCGGGGCAATCCGAAAAACGCCAACGGCAAAACAGTGGAATGCGACATCTGCCATAGTACGCAACTTTTTCGCCGTGAATGCCCCCGAGGCGATGGGGGAGGCAGAGGTCCGTCGATACATGTGGCTCAAACCGACTCGGACATACAGTGTGTCGATTGGGAAACGTTACTTGCCGACCCTGCCGACAATTCGGTTACAGTTGTTACCTTCAAGGTTGCCAGATATCTGAGTGCCAGTATGTCCCTCGAGAATGGCGCCGGCGAGCTCATCGAGGATATATACGCTGGCCACAATGAGATCGATGGGTCTGGCAGACTGGTTAGGTATACCCATCGCGGGGCGACCTGCACATCTCGCATTTGTTGGGGGTGTCCATATACCCGCTGAAGTAGATCAAGATATTGGGGGGGGGGGGGGGGGACCTGCGGATTCCGAAGCCACAGTTCCAGCGACAGGAGAGGACATGCAAATGATGCTTCAACCTCAGGCCATTGGCAACCCGGCAAACATGGAATTATATGACGACGATCCTTCGCGGGAAAGCCCGCGGGATGCTGGCGACCTTTCAGAACGCATCCAGTTCGATTTTTGACATAACGAAGACCGTCAGTTTACACTCGCGGCCGCGAGGCGGTCTCCGAGCCGCCAGGGGCGATCAACAAGCCGCCAAGTCTGGAGACGCGCGCGCTGCTCAGATGATGATGGCGACGAGTGGGGAGCTGAAGACCAGCGCAAGCTGCGCCATGGTCTAGTCCGCAACTATTCATGCGGGCGCTCGCGCGCACGCTCCAGCGGCGCTCGCCCCAGCGGCAACCGGCGCCCTCGCCCTCCAGATACGAGAGCCCCGATGACCTTACCAAGGAGGGATAACAGACCTGGGGCCCCACCGAGGAGGGATCGCTCGCGGGGGAGGCCGCCTCAGATGGGTGACCGCCCAGCCGCGTCTCCGGCAGGAGGAGTGCCGCGCCTTGTCAGCTATTGCGATCATGGACTAGCTCGTCAGTGCATATCGCCCGATGCAGTGCAGCGCTGGCTAGACCAAAGTTGGTCCGAGCACAGAATTCGTCGCTGGCATTCACTTCGCAGCGTTGAGCGCAACGATCAAGGCAGGATCGCCCACTCCAACAGAGGCATGGACGCTAGATTACAGGAGTCTCTCCAATGACGGGACCTCAAGAGGGCCATCATCGAAGAACGGAAGACTTACCGAAGTTTCGTTTGTATTTGCTGCTTTGATTATGCCGACCGCTGACCCGCTTGCCCGATGAGGCGTCCGTCAAGGAGCCCTACCTTCGAAAGAACACCATGGGTCTGGTCTCGTGGTGATGGTCGGGGTCGCGTCACTGATCCGCCCAGATACCCACGTAAAGAACAGTTGGCGAAATGCAATGTTCAGCCAGGTGATGACCATGAAAGAGTTCGTATCGATCAGATATGGGAGAACCTTGCTCCGAATCGCTTCCTTAAGGCTTTCAGTCGTGAGAATCATGCGGGGGGGCCCGCTTC